GGCAGTGAGGAAGGAAGGGGGGGGAAAGGTGGCCACCAGGGTAAGCAGGCGGTGGACACAGTGCAGTCTTAGTCTCAAGCTCATAAGGACAAGGTCAAGGACAAATATGAGATGAATATTTGGAGGGGAAGCTCCTAAGTTACGTGGGATTCTTGAAATTAGATGAGTTGTGGGGTGAAAACAGCTCTACTTGAGAGGAATAGCGTTAAAGAGTTAAATTCAGGCTAAACAGAACCTCAGGGGAGAGACAAAAAGTGCCAGTTAATTAACCAGTGTCTAAATGTATGTATAATTTTATTGTAATTTTTCTTGATATGTTAAATTTTAGATTTTTAAATGGTATGATGAATGAAATGTGCTGGGGAAGAAAGGAATGCACTCACATTTTTACAGCCTGTTCTCTTCCAGTCACATGGTGCCTGCAAAATTTTACCTCAGAAAAAAGTAAAAAAACAACAACACACCCCAAAAAACCCAGAGAATGTGTCCTTGACATCGTCTCCCCTTCTTATTGAAACTTCTAGCTGTAAACCTCAGCTGCTGCCGAAGAGTATGAGAGGGAATTTTCTTTCTCTCTTTTTCTTAACTTGATATTTTTATATTGTTACTGAAGTGTTTTAGCTAGAAAATGATTCATTTTACTGTAAAACCCCATTTGATTTAAATGTCTTCATGTTCTCATATGGCATACAGTTAGGTCATAACAGCTTCCAGTGTGTCCTTTCTTTGGATTTAAAGGGGGTAGGAAATTATTTTAATGCAGATCATAAACAATGGACCATTCACAGGCCTTAAAAAACGTTTAATAGCTTGGTTTGCTTATCAATCACCAAAATATTTGATGAATTCAGGATTAACAGTAGTAGTGTTTTTTTAATGAAAGTATTTACTTATTTATACTTTTCAAAACTTTCATTGAATTTATTGGGGTGACACTGGTTAATAGAATTATACAGGTTTCAGGTGTACAGCTCTGTAACATGTCATCTGTCTATTAACAGGAGTGGTGGTGATCATTATCTTTGACATAAACCCGTTAGTTCCTATTTCTACCTTATTGGTTTTCTTGGCAACATCAAAAAAGAATTGCTGTTTGTTTGTAAACTCAGTCTGACAGAAACTTCTTCATTATGTTATTGCTCTTTTGGCATAAGCTTTCAGGTACCATCTTCAATGTTTTAGCTTGTTTGCATGAGAATATAAGATATGGTCTCATACGGCACTCTTCGTATATGGAGAGTTTGCTTTAATTTTCCACGATATCACTGACAATTCATAAAACAGAAAATGGCATTTTTGGATTCAGATGTCCACTTCAGATAATAGTACATTCAAGAAATAGCACAAAAAAGAGCTACGGTGAAAAGAGAGTGAATGATTTTGAAAAAGGAAGAGCCACGAGGCTAAACATACTATAAACCCTCAGTAATTAAACCCGTGTTCCTGGTCCACAAATAAATGGACTGACCAATGGAAAATGATCTAAAGGTTAAAACAAAGGCAAGAACTTAGTGTACCATAAAAGTGACATCAGAGGACAAAGATGAAATTTTAAATAAATGGTCTTGAGATAACAAAATTACCACCTGGAAAAGATAAAGTTAAATTAATACCACACATGACATATGACAACCTCTAGATACATGAAATATTTTAATGTAAAAAAAAAAAAAACCCTCCATAAAAACACTGTAAGAAAATATAAACTGACTTCTTTATAATATTGAAGAGGCTAAAGCCTTTCCAGCTTAACTCAAAATTCACAAACCAAAGAGGAAAGATAAAAATATTTCACTGCATAAAAGCGGGGGAGGAAGGAAAGGGAAGGAAAGAAAAGAAAAAAAGAAGGAAGGAAAAAGAGAAAGGGGAGACAGAGAAAGCAGATGGGAAGAAGGCAGCGAGACAGGGAAAGAGAAGAGAGAAGAAAATTTGTGCTTGGCAAAAAGCACTATAAAATCAAATAACAAATGAAAAATTGGGGGAGGGAATGTCTGCAACTCACATCACAGTTAAGGGATAATCTCTTAAATAAAGATCTCCTAGAAAATGTAAGTAATACAATAAAAAAAAGACAACAGTAATAAGCATAAACAATTCAGAGAAAATAATTCAAGTTTATAAAAATGTCTGACTTAATTAGTAACAAGAGAAACACATACCGAAAGTACACTTAGCTTCTATTTTTCACTTATCAGATTGGCAAAATTCAAAAGTTTCACAATAGCTGGCAAGGGAACAGGGAAATGGGCCCTCATATATTGCTGATAGGAATGCAAAATTATATAAGCCCACAAATATCAGTTTAGCAATATCTATCTGCATTACAAAATCATGGCCCAGCCACATCATTTCTGGGAATTTATGCAACAGATGCATCTGGACATTTAAGGGAAGAAATATTTACAAGGTCATGGATTTGGGCACTATTTGCAGTAGCACAATATTGGAAACAATCCAAGAGGGAATCAGTAGGGGGTTGCTCAAAGTGTGATATATGCAGCAAAATCTACTATAAAAATGAGGAAGCTCTCCGTATACTAATTTGGAAAGGTCTCCCATATACATTATTAAATGGAAAACTTCAGGTACAGAATAGTATTTTATATGCTTAAAATGGGCACAGAAATAAGAATATGTATTCATATTTACTATATCATCACAAAGAAACACTGAAAGTTTTCCCAAGAAATGAATAAAATAAAAAGTATTTATCAAGAGTGGGAGACAGGATGAGACCAAGACTTATCAATGTATCTTTTCATCTTGTCTTGTTTATATATTGCTTTATTTAAATCAAGATGGTTTCCATAAAACAAAACATAAATAAAACAAGAGAGAATTTAAATGACTCCACATACGCCTCAAGGTCTTTATTTCTCTGCCCCTGTTTAATGTAAAATTTCATAAAATTATCTCTATTTGCTCACCTATCATTCACTTTTCAACCTATTTGAATCTCTCTTGCTGCCTCCTCACCAATCAAAAACTACTCTTGCCCGGCCGGCAGGGCTCGGTGGTTGAGCACTGAGCTAGGATCCAGGAGATCCTGGTTCAATTCCCAGACAGAGCACATGCCCGGGTTGCCGGCTTGATTCCCACTCGGGGGCGTGCAGGAGGCAGCCGATCAATGACTCTCTCACACTGATGTTTCTCTCCAGCTCCCTCCCTCTCTCTGAAATCAATAAAAACATATTAAAAAATATTTTTAAAAAAACTACTCTTGCTGAGATCATTATAACATCCACTCTGATCAAGCCACTGAACACTTTCCTCCTAGCCTTATCATTACACACTGCTGACTAGTCCCTTGATGGGTCTGTGACACTGCAGTGCTCATTTACCTCCTATTTCTCTGATCGCTCCTGTGTTTCCGCTTCTCCCTGAGCTCCCACTGTCGTTTCCCTCCCGTTGGTCCTAGGCTCTCTGGGCTCGTCATGGGTCATCTTTCATTCTGCTACTAGAAGGTCTCTTCAAACTCTTTAACTCTAAATATATTTATGTGGCAATCCCAAAATTTTATCTCTAACTCAGACCACTCATTGAACTCTAGAATCACATATTCACAACTTCACATATATACTTGGCTATCTGTGGATATCTCAGTGTTAACCTGCACAAAACAGAGCTAATTCCCACTATCCTCACCACCCAAATACTTATTGTTCCCCAGTTACCTTCATTTCAGTAAATAAAATCATTCTCCATCTAGTTGTTTAAATAGAAACCCAATTCAGTCCCTTTCCCTTAACTCCTTATCTAATCTAATATTAAATCTACTCAATTATACTTAGAAAATATATCTTGAATCTGTATAATTCTCTTTTACTACCACTCCAATTTTATCTCTTGCCTGCACCACAATAAAAGTGTATCAGTCAGGGTTCTCCAAAGAAACAGAATCAATAAGATATCTATCTATCTTTAGAGGAATTGGCTCATACAATTGTAAGGGCTGGCAAGTCAGAAGTCTCTAGGGTAAGCTGGCAGGCTGGAAACGTAGGCAGGATTTCTGCATTAGAGCCTTGAGGCAGAATTCTTTCTCTAGGAAACTTGTTTTTGCTCTTAAGGCCTTCACTTGATTGGATGGGGCCCACCCACGTTATGGACTGTAATCTCTTAATATCAACTGATTGTAAATTTAATCACGGCAACATCTAGACCAGTGTTTACCCAAACAACTAGGCACACCATAGCCTACCCAAGCGGACACATAAAACTCACCAAAACAAGCAGTTCTAATTAGTTTATTTCCATGTTTGCCTCATTTCCCACTCTGATTCCCACACAATAGCTGACGTAATCTTTCTAATAGTATCTCTTCCATGATTAAGCTTTTTCTACTGCTTCTCACTGCACTTGAAATAAAATCCAAACACTTTGCCTACAGGTTCATCTTCCAGTCGTTTTCTCCTCTGCATTTACTGTGCTCCAGCCACTTGGAGTAATGGCCTCCTTTCTGTTCATCCAACATGCCAAATTCTTTCCCATGCTAGGGCCTCTACATATTCTTCTCAGATGTGTGATATATATTTGTTAATGAATAAATAATAAATAACCCCCTCCTATGGAAGATAGCTCACTTTATTAAGTCACTCACATGGTTCCGGCTTGAAGCAAACACTGGAGCCTGGTGCTTCCAGATTCAGGTAAGTACAACCGTGCTCACCACACTATCCCTGTAATACATCTGCCGGTTAACGACCCTCAAGCCCGTCATACTCAAAGCCCTTTCTGCCTCTGGCCGGGTGTTAATACCTGTTATTCTAGTCTATTATTTCCATTACTATTAGTGGTTTCTACAGTGCTGTTGTAAACTTGATCCATTTATATAGCTCCAAAAATTCCTAAATCCTTCGGGCTTTATCAATTCTGTATTTTTATATGTCTTCTAACATTTCAATGTGAGTTTAAGATGAGGGAGGTAGGAGTGCATGCATGTAGTCAGTCAAGTTCCTTTGACTGGAAGTTTACAATAAAAAACATCAGAACAGAAACTCAAATCATATTAATGAAGATGATTTTATTGAGTTACAGGACAGGACACATAAAAATTAAATATTTGAGTAAAATTTAACCATCTATTCAAAACTAGAAACTTTAAATGTTAAAAAGTACATTTTTAGTAAGTATCTAGACATTACCCACTTATTTATTATTTCAAAATGTTGGGATTAAGGCAAATATTTAGTTATGCACTGAATCCCCATATAGGTAAAAGAGATAAACTAAAGTTTGTCTTAAAGTTCTTGATTAAAAAAAAAGCTGTTGCATAATAAGAAAATACAACACACGCTTAATGTTAGCTCCTTGCCTCCACTGTTTATGAAGAACCACACACTCTCCTCTTACCTTTATTAAAGCGTTTGAAAATGCCATTTATAAAAAAAAATCTTAAAGTTTGATCTCACCTAACATTATTTGATCATAAAGTTCTTTCGTCAATGGAACATAAGCTTTTTTCAAGTTATCCATGAAGTACAGTGGATCAGAAATTTTCAATGGACTAAATCCTTCTTGCACCAACTGAAACTTCTTTGGTTTGAATGTCCCTGTCATTTCCATCTTTTCCTGTAAAGCAATTACCAGGGTTAGTGAAATCACTTAATATTATATATAATACATAGGTATTATACATAATACATTATATATTATAATACATAAATATGTATTTAACAATGCAGACTGTAATATTGAGTTACAACATTTTCATATCCAATGGCCATCTCTATATACTACTAATAATTTAACCTTAGAAATAAAAAAAAAGTTGTCCTCTAGAACATTTAAATCTTTAGCCTGATTTACCTGTGAACTTTATTCAACATATAAAAATTATGAACATCATCAATAACTGATTAAAACCGATTATAAATGTCTAAAACACATAGGTTTATCTCTTCAATTCAATGTCAACACATTATGTACAGAGAATGCTATTAGACATCAAGAAGATAAAAGATGTAAAAGAGAGCGATCTATTCCATAAGGCAGAACACTGTAAGAACCAGAGGGAGTAAAGTGGTCTAAAACTTGAGTTTCTGAGCTATACACTGAGGTCCATTGTGGTACCTCAGAGAATTTCCAGGGTCCCCACGAAACATATAAAATTTTCAAAATAAACCCAGTGACATCTGTCAGTCACCACTTGCAAACTGGGGCCGGGCGGTGGGGTGTCTCAGATTTGATGCCTGGTCAAGGGCATGCACCTGGGTTGCGGGTTTGATCCCCGCCCTGGTTGGGGTGTGTGAGGGAGGCAGCCAATCAACGTGTCTCATATCAATGTCTCTCTCTCTCTGTCTCTCTGTCTCTCTCTCTGTCTTTCTTTTTCTCTCTCCCACTCCCTCCCTCCCTTCCACGCTCCCTAAAAATCAATGGAAAAAATACCCTCGGTAAGGATCAACAACAAAAAAGCTGTGGTACATACATACAATGAAATATAACTCAGCCATAAAAAAATGAAACCTTACCATTTGCGATAGCATGGCTGGACCTAGAGGGTATTATGCTAAGTGAAACACATTCTTTTTTCTCTCTTTTAGTAAATTAGAAGCTCACTTTGCTTATACAATTTGATGTTCTGCCTTTAAAAAAATACTATGCCAGGTATATTTCCCCAAGTTAGGTCATTTTCATCAGAACATCACTTTTTAATGGTGTCATACATCTCACCTAATTATAATATTTTAATTAACCACGCTCTTATTCTTGAACTTAGAGAAAACATAAAAAATTACTACTATAAATAATACCTTGAAGAACATCTTTCTATATAACATTTGCACATCTTTGATTACTTCCTTACTTCCTAAGGATAAATTTCTGGGAATAAAATTACTAAGTCAAAATATGTGCAAATGCTAAGTGTCTGATCACATATTTACCAAACTGTTTCCTAGAGAGGTTATAACAGTTTGTGTTTTAGAACGAAAGGACCAATTTAATTTCTTCCCAGGCATACTGAGTAATAAACATTAAAAAAATTTTTTGGTAAATTTATTGGCAAGAGAATCCTTTTAAAATTTGTGCTAAATAGATTTTTAATAAGATAATTGTTTTATTCATTGTGTCAGAATAATTTATTCTTTTGCTTATATCAGATAATAACTCATTTATTAGATAAATATTATGACTGCCAACTAAGTATCATGCATTATTCTAACTATAGCAAATACTGTAATATAACAGTTATAGCCCAAGTGCTTTTAGGTGTTTAATGATGCTAAAATATTTTCTAAATTTGTATAAGACTGATTTAGTCTTCTAGAGTTGTCCAATGCCAAAATGCTTCTACTTAATAGCAGTAAATTTTAAGTAGTCCTAAGGGAAAATGTTTAAAATATTATTTGATTCCTCAACTTCCTACTCCATTAAAATACATTGTTTCTAAGGTAGGGCAGGGAGGGGGCAAGAGAGAGCTGGGTGTGGTTAGAAAGGACACTGTGAAGGATCCTTGTGGTGTTCAAATTGTTCATATCCTGACTGTGGTCACTGATGCATAAAGCTACACAGCTAATAAAAATACACAGAACTTAAGACTGAAGGGGTTAAGAACAGGCCTCTCCAAGATATGCCACTTTGGCATGTGAATTATTCTGAAGGCAAGTGAGTCCCTGAGGCCTCATGAGAAACTTTTACTTTTCCCTTAAAGAATTTAAATAAGGGGCCTTGCCCATAACAAGTTATCATCAGAAGTGCCATTTTATGAATTATCTGTATGGCAAGGCAAACGTATAATTACTGAACATCTGCTCTTCTTATTGTCCTGAAACAACCTTCCTCCTCTGTGAAGCCCCAACGTGCCTTACCGCATCTTGAGCTCGAACACCATACATACCTCATTGTAACTTTCTCTCTCTAAAGCTCTCATGTACAAGGGGTCTCCGACTCTCTCAGGTATGTGGGGTTCCTGTATGTATGTATGTAATTAAATTTTTTTTTCTTGGTAATCTGTCTCATGTCAATTTCACTATTAGACCAGCTGGAAGAATTTAGGATAGAGGAAAATTTCTTCCTCCCCCTACAATACACACACACAGAGACACACACACACACATGCACTCCAGTAAAAGTAAAACAGAAAAGTTTAAAAAGATGGGCAAATTGTATCAATGTCAATACCAGTTGTGAAAAATGTTACCACTGGAGGAAACCACATAAAGGGCACACAGGATCTCTTTGTATTATTTCTTACAACTGCATGTGAATCTACAATTACCTAAAAATTTTTTTCAATTAAAAATGTGTTATTTCTGCTTCATATTTACTTACCTTTAGTATTTCAGATGATTGTTATGAAAATAATCTGAGACGATGTGTGTAAAAGCTCTTAAAATAAAAAATATTATGTAAATGAAATATTTATGACCGTTCAGATGATCTGTCCCACTGGCCAAGCAATGAGTTGGCCGAGAGTATTGCTCAGCAAATGCTTTAAAAATAAATATGAAACCATCTATTGCTCTACTAGAGATCTAATAGCAATGTGACAAATGTATCTGAAAAATTCTATGTGATTGGGTGTTAAGAGATGACTAGTGCTAGCTCTGGGAAATTACATTTGAAGTACAATATTAAATAAATGAATGGCTGAAGAAATGAGCAAGCAAAGTTACTCAGTAGCTGACTAAATTTGTTTTTATTTTTACTGTGTTTTAGTCTAGTAAGCTAACGAGAGAGCGAGTTCACCTCTCAAAACAAATAAATTCACAATTTCTCCAAAATATAAAATCCCAGAGGGGGTGGTTGAACAGAAAGAAGACAAAAATAAAAAGTAAAGGTGCTTAAAGCCAAATGCCTTTGGGTTCTGTACACATTCTTCAGACACCTTGATGTCAGCTTGGTGGAACCCAGTTTTAGGCACATAGCACTAAATGTCTTCACCAGGCATGTGTGAGATATGGTTGTTGGCTTGCCACTGTCTCTGGGACCATCACTTTTGCTGAGGTCTTGATTGATCAGGAAGAGAGCAATTCTATAATCAGGACAAAGACAAAGACATCCTAGCATTTCATCATGGCATAAATTAGCATCCCAACGCTTTTCACTGGTCTTGAAATTCTCTAATATAGATAAAATGCACATGTTAGCTAAAGGATAAAAATCTTATTTTGTAGTTAAACCATCTCCTGGATTCCTGGTTTTAAATTTGAAGGGTAAGTGAAATCACCTTAATTCTTAAAATTCAGACAGCAATATTACCTGAATTCTTAAAAATCGTGGGCAGGCATAAGCTGGTAGAAATGTTACAACTTGTTCATAAACTTTTTCCAAGTCTAAAGACTTATTTGGCTTTAAAATAATAGAGGCCATTCCTGTTTTTCCTTCACAATCTGAAAAAGAAGTTTGAAATAGAGTCCATTTACAAGAAGTAGGGGAATTTTTAAAATAGTCCTATCTATTGCATACTAACTGTTGTAAAGGGAGACAGTAAATCACTTGTGGCAGTGACAATGCAACAGCAGCATAAATGAGTGGGTCCTTCCCTGAGCATATGATTTACTCCCTAGAAATAATTTAGGAACAGGGAAGGGTAGAGTCTATCCCTAACTGTCTACACTACAAAAATGAAATACATGGGATAGAAAACACCATAAGTGACCCATAATTTGCATCTTATCACCATTAATATAAAATATTAAGAGGAAATATTTATTTAAAGACAAATATATTCCAGAGAAATGTCCATAATAAGCATCAATGTAAGAAATAAAGGGCATATTTTTAAGGTAAGAAACTCAAGGCTGGTTTTGTCCTAACTAACTCCACAAATCGCTTACTGCTTATCATGACACCTATGGGTCTCTCCAGGGGACTGGAGTCTCCTGCAGCATTTCTCCAGCACCCAGTGGCTGGCTATTAAACACCCCCCTCCTCTGCTCCCCTATCCACATTCTCACCCCACTCCCATGTCCCCATGCACTGACAAACATTTTTTTTACTAATTGTCATTAGTAAAAAGAGACAGTGAAGAGGAATCCTGTGATTTCAGGTTGGTCACTTTTATTCGCCATTTCCACCATCATGATACAATCCTCACATGCATATTTATAAAGATAAATGAAGTAAAAAATTTAAAAATAATTTTTAAAAGGTTCAACTTAACTACAAGTCATTGTTATTAAACATTTAAACTAGATCGTGTTTCTGTTTAGTGGCATGTATAAACTCCAGTCGCAAAGGGAAAAATAATAGACCACTGAAAAGCTGTAACTACTGTCAAACAGTGCGTCACTGACCAGAGTATTTAAGCTTGGCTTAAAAATAAACACATATATTAAAATTCAATGGGGGAAAAAGCAACCCATACTAAAATAAAAAGCAAACATCATCAAAAAAAATTCAATGGGTAACTTTCCCCTGATGTGACCCTGAAGTTGGTTTATTTGCCATGACAAGACTGAGATAACTATCAAATATATAAAAAGCAAAATGTTGAATTAGATCATCGCAAAACTTAAGAAAGTTGGCACATTCTCTTTGAGAATCCTTCCAAAACCCAAAATATATTCATACCTGGCACAGCCACACCATAGACGTTCGATTCTTGTATGAAATCCAACATTCCAATAACATCAGCAACCTCTGTGGTTGCAATGTTTTCCCCTTTCCATCTAAATAAAAAACAAATTCCAGTTAGCACACTTACAGTTGAAGAATTAGATTCCCAGGTTTAGTTTCAGTGCCTTGCACTTGGTTGGCTCTGTGCAAACACCTAGTAACCGAAAATAATGGCAGTTTTCAAAACAAGAGGCATTTTCTAAGGAAGCACTTTGTTGATAGCTCAACAAAATCAGTATCTGTTTTTTAGTTAAAATCACTTTATCTATGTCTCATTGGTATAAACTGCTTACTGCAAAATGGTTTTTTATAATATGTCATAAAAATAAAACAATGATAATCCTCTGTATTTTTAGGAATTAATTCCTTTGGCCCTTTTAGTGCATAGGAATGGATATTTTATTTTAATTAAAATGGTTTTACATAATGTGAGCTCCTAACATGGTATAAGAAGGCGAGGAAGTACGTAGAATTCATTTATTCATTCAAGCAAGCATTTTTTGAATGTCTATTGTCTGTCCTTCACTGTTCTATAGTCATTGATTAGTAAAGTAAAATAACTTCACAAGCCTAAAATAACCTTAAGTAATTATAAAAGAAAATCACAAAAAGGGAACTTTTGCTGTTTCATTATTTTTATCACTAGGTCAAGAATTAGACCATATTTGACCAAACTGGTTTTCTGTCTTAAACCTATCATTTAGATTGCATGTCTCTCTACCTGTTTGATATTCTAAAAATAAAAGGAGCCTACTAATTTGGACCAAATGGATTCATTAAAATGATCATAAAGCTTGACATCAAAATTTGACTTATGTTTCAATCCAGAAACAGATGGCCGGCAGGTTTTTAAATGGGGAGGCATAATTGAAATAAAAAGGGGGTGTCTGCCCTCAAGGTAAAGAGCACGTGGTCTATAAGGTTTCCCCAGGGCCCTGCTCGGAGCACGGCTCACTGTCGCAGAACAGGCAGCATGACCGATGGTGCCTCCTACCTGAAAGTGTCTCCAATACGGTCCCAAAAATAAAGGAAATTCTCACGATCTTGGACCATCAGGTCGCCTGTGTTAAAGTAGACATCTCCCCTCCTGAAAACGTCACGCAGCAGTTTCTTCTCGGTGTGCTTCTTATGCCCAGCGTAACCAAAGAAGGGATTCTTCTCGTTCACTCGAGAAATGAGAAGGCCAGGTTCCCCTGGGGGAGAAAGGCATTCTTCAGTGGCCTGATCAAAGCCGCCACTGCGCACGCCATGCGCGCACCCAGTTTACGGGTGAGCAGCTCAGCGGCGCGGCCCGTCTTCCTTTCCTCTCAACTGACCGTTACCGCGTCTGACGCGGTCCGCTCTGGGTGCTCAGGGCACAGCCAGCACATCCTTTCACAGGCTGCCACGAACGCGCATCACTTCGGAAAAACGAACAAGAAGGAAACTGAATGTGAAGAAAGGTCTATGAAGCTAGTTTTACATCCTGGGCGGATAGAGCAATGGCTGCTTTTCTTTTGGATTATGTAGATTTTACCACTGATAATGGCAGTTATATAAATAACGACCATAATGAGGATTTTAATAAGGTGATGCTAGCTGCACTACAAGCCCCATAGCCCTTTGCGACACCATCTTGTTTATTCTTCATGGTAATGCTCTGAAATTGATAATTATAGCCCCTATTTCACAGTGAGGAAACTAGGCCCAAAAGGGTAACGTCATTTACCAAAGTCCAACAGACAGAAAGGAATGAACCTAATACTCAAATTCAAGTCGAGATGATTTTGCATTACACTATCTCTGAGCTAAGTAATAGGTTACCAGAAGTCTAGGAAAACATTTTATTCCTCTGGGATGTTAGCCTGGAAATCCTTGATGGGCAAGAGATGAAACATGAAATTTATTAGTTTTACTTACAGACACATTATTGAAAATAATTTTTCAATCACATTTATTCAAACGAGTCAAGATTTTGTCTGGCAATCTGTAAGGTGAAACACTACTAAGAGAAGGGTGGAAGACAAAGGACAGCAGCAATCACTAACCCAGAAGATTTCAAGGCTGTTGTTGACTTGCTTTGTCCCTTGTGAAGAGAGTCGACATCCTTGTGATAAGTTAAATGGGTTACATTCCAGCTTTTAATTTCTTTAAAACAACAACCACACTTTCTATTCAACTGCCAATTACTCCCACTCCTTCTGGACATTCTGGCTTCCAAGGGCACACAAACCAGTGGCCAAAACAAGCCTGCTTTGCTGCAGCAGAGGCCCCTCATGGTCATTGTCTTACTAACACCACCACCATCATCATCATCATCGTTACCATCGTCATCATCTTCATTATTACTTAATGAGCACTTTCTGGGTACTAGTGATTATTCCAGGCACTTTACATATGCATCCCATCTGATCCTTGTCACAAACCTGTAAGACGGGCCCTCATACAATCTTCATTTTACAGTTAAAAAACAGAGGGAGAAAAAGAAGTCATTTGCCCAGAGTCACAGAGCAGCCAATTGTTGGGGTTGCAATTTTTCTTTCACCAGGTCCCCCTGACTCCAAAGCCTCTCCTCGTTGCATATTCCATCATCTACATTCCCTATCATTCAGAATTTTCAAGCCTCAGATTTCCCTTAAATTTTGTTGTTTTTCATTTTTAGGACACAAGTGACAGTTTCTTCCCTGAGAAATCAATTATTGCAAATGCTTGAAAGGTCAGAGTTTATTCTTATCCATTTACAGGCAATTTATGCAAGACACAATGCTTTAATGGGAAAATAAAATATTTAGTGACCCATAATGAGAACTGCAAAACAGTAATAAGCAGTACTGGGATTCAAGTTCCAATATCAGATATTACTGTAATTGTAAAAAAAAAAAAAGGAACCACCGACTAGCAAAGTGTGTTTAAATGAAGTTCCTTAGAAACGGCTTTTCTTTTGAACACTATCTATAGAGTTCAATTAGGGAAAGATATTTGATAACTGCCCTTAGGCTTGAAATTCAGAGGATTGGGAAAGCTGCTTTTTAATAGGTAAGGTTTATATTTTTTCTAGTCTTTCAGCTGCCAGGAAAAACAAAACAAAACAAAAAAACCAAACCCAGGTTGGCAACTTTTATATCCACATCTGAAGTAAAGATTTAAAGAAAAACATCTTTGAAATGTAGTTTAAACATATTTTGAGGCAGAAAAAGTAATTTTGGCCTGACTCCTTCAGACTGGACCTCCAAATAATTCTAAGTGTGCATTTCTATGTTTAATTTTCCAGATTGATGATATGCAGTGGCAAGTTAGTTGGGGCACTTGCTTTCATTAATATTTCTAACTAAAAATTATAAGAAAGTCTACCTTGGTCGAGGAGGAGGAGTGAGAGGGAGAAGGGGAGGGTGATAAGCCACACACCAGGCCCTCGGCAGGGCTTTGCATATATCATCTCAACTCATTGTCAACAATAACCTCAAGAAATAAGTAGTGTCACCTCTACTCTACATATGAAGAAAATGAGACTCAGAGAGGTTGGGTAACCTTCCCAAAGCAGTACAGTTTTTAAGTGTGAAAGTCCAGATTTAAATTCAAGTCTGCCTGACTTTCCATTACACCTAGAACACTGAATTAAGTCATTCATTTTAATGTTGTATTTTGGTGATATAGCACATTGGACATATGCCACTGTCACAAAGCAGAAGTGTGGATTAAGAAAAATATGAGCTCAACAGTAATCACTTTTAAATTTCAATAATCTGAGCGACTCATTTGGGGCTTCTAACATCTAATAATTAAACCATTCTACTTACACTGAAATTCCAGGTAAGTCACATTGCATATTAGAAATAACCATTACTTCTTTTCTAAATTGAGTAGTAATTTAAAAGGAAATTCGGAAAACTTGCCTGAGGCAACATCTTCAAACACAAGAATCTTACCTTTTTGCACATGGCTACACCAGCCCTGTTCATTTCTAATGGGTTCATCTTTCTGAAGATCGTACTTTATCAAGTCAAAAGTGAAAAAAAACTGCAAAAACAAAACAGAACGGAAACAAGACTTAGTTATTTGCACAGTGACATCTACTGGTAGGCTTTATACTCAGCTGAAATAAAGAATAAGAATGTGGATTTATTAAAACAAGGAACCTTTATTGATACAAAATTGAATGCCTGGACACCAAAATTGAAGGTATTTTTAAACAACACTCGTGTACTGGCGTTTACTTTCACTTCTTTTTTGTTGCACATCACCTTAGCGAAACATGACTAATTCTACTCCTGAACGAGGCGACGCGAACCATGCGCGCGCTCAGCGGCTGCCTGCCTGGCTCCCACTCCGACTCACTGCTCCGGCTCCACGGCCTTGGGAGGAGGGCCACTTCCTTGCCCTCCCCTTTCTGCAGCCATTCAAAGCATCCTTTGAAGTGGAAAGTTTTAATAGAACCAAAATGTAAACTACGTGAATGTAAGGAATTTACTGTCTATTTTTAATTTACAATCCCTTGAAAAGGGACCAGGTGCCTAAAAGCACTTGTTACCTGACACCTTGACCTTTTCCCCAGGCCTTTCCCCTGACGTCCCCATCAAACCTCTCTGCACCACTGTGGTGTGAGATGGCCAGTCTCTGAGAACATCCTGATCACATGGGGCACCAAGCTTATTGGACATCTCTCCTTGTCCCCACATATTTCCAGCTGTCCCGCTCCTGGAATGTCCATTAGTGCCATGTCACGGAGATCCACAGATCCACTGAAATCTGACCCTGGGAGAGAACTACAGATTGGCTCAACCCAGCTCCCTCATTTTATAGAGAAGAAAATGCAGGTTTTCCTGATTAATTAAATAGGCAATCATATTAAGCTGAACTAGAACATAGTAAATTAAAATGAAGGTAATAAAATGAAGTGAGGAAAAATAGTAAGGAAGGACCAATAGAAAGAGAGGAGGAGAGAAGTGAACAAATATAGAACAAATAAGTGGGAAAAGATGGGCAAGATTAATGAGATAAATGTAATACTAGTATTTTTTATCTAAGACTAAACTCAGATCTCTCTGGTTTTTAATCCTAGTAAAATTAGCATGTAACTAGAATCACAATTCATTATTTGAATTAAAATATAAATGAGAGCAGGTAACATTGACTGAGCACTTACTGTATGCCAGCCACTGTGCTAGTAGTTTAAGAGCAGTGTTTAATTTAATCGTCACAACACCCTTGGAGGTAGAAATTAGTGTTATCCTATTTTAAGATAAGGTTAAGTGAGAGAGGTTGCAAAGCAAAATATATTGTTATTCTACACATAAAGATTCTTTTTTAAAATGCAAGCTTGCATCTTGTTGGTCATTGTCTGTAACTGGGTAACAGGATATTGGCCACTTGCCTAATGACTGGTAAAAAGAAAGATTCCAGGAGTTCTGGAACCGCATTTATCAGTTTGGCCAAACAATAACAGAGCCCTGTTCATCATGCAATCTTTTCTCCCCTGTTTTAACATGCTTTATATTTCAAAAATTTTGCCCAGCAACTGGTGTTATCAGCTTTAGTGTTATTTCTTTTAAATGAAGTTGGCAACCACCTGTGTGGGTGACATTCACTCCACACCAAATCACTGTTTGCCTGTTACCAGGTACAGAGGACTTGATGGTCCGAAATTGGGTAATTTCATGAAACAAATGAAGTTTAAATATATCACAGCATCTTCTAGAAGTCACCAGGATCAGAGCATTAAGTCTCAGCCAGAGGGATTTCCATATTTTCTTCCTGCCTTCAAGAGGCCCCACAGGTTACCAAAAAATGGCTATTATAACACAAATAAAATAACAGGTGCCACAGTTTATCTCCTAAATATATATGCACATGTACATCTTTACCCTACACTGTGTACATCCTTTGTGTTTTCTTATGGTTCTTTAATTTATGTTTGATAATTCCATGAGGATATATTTTCCAGATGTTCATTCTGTACCATATATTATCCCCCTGGAATACAATGTGCTCTTTTGCTAATGAGTCAAATCTTTATTTTAAGGACATTCTCTTCTATTAGGTTTCAAATAATTTTTATCTCTTTGATTTTTTCCCCCAGGAACACCAATTAAGGATATGTCAGGTCATTGTCTGTTTTTGAAATCTATCTTTGTAATTTATTTTATATTATTACATGCATATTCTTTCTATTGTTTATGTAACCCCTTAGTCCCATCCATCTTGCTCCCTAACAATGTTTAAGTCCTTTAATGTGGTGTGAATGTCTGTAATATTTTCATTTTTTCCTGTATTAATTTATTTTTTGAGCTGAGCATGTCTACTTTCCAACTCCTTCTGTTAATCTGTTTTCCTTGTACTTTCCTCTCCTTTGAGTTCTTATTTTTAAAGAGAATATTACTGCAATTTTTGAACCTATGGGAAATCGTTTTTCTAAATATTTCCTGGCCATCTTGGAGGACTTATTATTTTGATGTGCATCCATATTTTTTTGGCTGCTTTTTATTTAGATTCATCTTCCCCCTCCCTTTCAAGTTTTATTTCCTCTAGGGGTTTCATGTTTGTTCCTTCCCAAATATTATCCCCAGGTGTAGAAAAGAAGGCAGTCCATAACTTTTATTTGGGTTTGTTTCTCAAATGAACTGTCACCAAATTCTCTATATTGTTTGCTTTGGGAGCACACATGGGACACATATCCCTTCAGGCTCATGTGTTTAAACAGTGAGTGTAGCGCAAGGAGGACATTTGCATCATAGGAATACGATGTTGCTGCCTTATCTTTTTCCTTCACTAATAAAATCCTGTCTCTGTTTAGAGGCTGATTCCCCTCCCAGACAGTAAGTGTAAGGCTCCTAAACTTTTGAGACACACTGATCAAATCCCCCTATATAATTATGAAACAGTTATTGGTCCAGTTTTTTTCTGATTGCCTGCTACGTAACAGAACAATATGTAAATGAATGATAAAAGACAGAATTCATATGATATTTGGTACTTTTTTTTTTCTTTCATTTCCAAACTGAGTAAAACCTAAAATGAATTGAAAATCAGATGTTTTCTAAATAAATTGTAGACAATCATGACTTCCTGCATTACTGACATTATTATAGTCTGACAGGGAATTTAAGGTATTAGAAAATTAAAATGAAGTCAAGCCAGTAATAAAAATACAAATATTCTTCATTGTACTCCTACGGGATGATTACTTTGGAATGACTCAGCTTCACTAAAGGAGCTTTTAATATAAATACCAATTTTTAATGGAATCAGTTCAATGAATTGAGAAAATTAACTGTAAGGAATGTAAAACAGCACTATCAGCACTTACTTTCCCCAAATTACTTTTGTTTAGAATGCAAACACATTTCTGACATGATAAGACCCTTAAAATCCCAAAGAATGCATTATAAAATAGTTTGCACCTTCTTTAGGTTCCAAACATTAGGGCAATTTATATAAGCTTTGAATCAATTTTTTTTGTTTTGTTTTGTTAATCCTCACTAGAGGATATTTTTTCCATTGCTTTTCAGCTATAAGTCTTTTACTCTTAAGAAGGTGATTTTTTTGTCTGCTTTGAAGATTTTAGTGGTACCTTGATATAGTTTTTAAAGAAAGTATATATTAGAAGCCTATACCTAAGTTTTGAATGATATAAAAATGAAAGGTAAATAGAAATAGTGCACTGAAAATACTCAAAGAAAATGGAGTCAAATGAACATATGTCAGGATCTATGCTTGCTGTTTATACTTACATCATTAAATTTGAAAACTGAACAAAAGAATTAGGTATCATTATCCTTATATGATGGAGGGAAGACATAGGAGGCTGAGGTTTTAATAACCTACAGCCCTAGAGTTCATCTAGAGGCCACTACTTTATTTATAGAAGTTCTCAACTTAAAAACCACATGTGATTATATATTTATCCTCACCTGAGGAATGAGGATATTTTTTCCATTGAGTTTAGAGAGAGTGGAAGTTAGGAGGAGAGGGAGAGAGAGGGAGAGAAAGAGAAATATCGACTCGACAGAGACACATCGACCCTCATGCACCCTGACCACAGGTGGGGATCGGACCTGGAACCCAGGTATGGGCCCTGGCTGGCAACAGAACCCATAACCCTAACCTGAGACCCTCTGGTGTGCAGGCTGACACTCTAACCACTAAGCCATGCCAGCCAGGGCAACACACGTGATAATATTTACCATAACACACAAGCACAAAGCTAGAAGAGAGGTCAGCAGGTCTCAAAATATTTCTTTTGTAAAGAAAGCATGGTACTTACTTTGTAAAAGAAATTTGTTCTCCCGACTGCTCCAATTTTCCCAGTGTGATTCATGAAACAAATGTTTCCTTCGGTAGCTCCATAAAGCTCACACATCTTAATATTTCCAAATCTGTCTAAAAATTCTCTCCATACATCACTCCGTACACCATTTCCAACTGCCAAACGCACCCGATGATCCTTTTCTCCTTCTTTCTGTTAGAAGAAAAGATTTTACTCGTAACTTATTAATCCTAGTTCCCAATTCTTTCTTTCATTTCTATTACTTTAATGGTAAATATCTACGGGTTGCATATATGCAATAATGGAAGGAAAGTAAAAAAATATCATGTAAGTCTGTTGCAGAACAGTGTCCAACAGCTAACGAAATTAACCTGGCCCAGAGTAATGCAGCTTTATTTCCCCACATGTGGGAAAAACTCTTTCTAAACTCCAGCTCATTGAAGCCTTATTTTGGTAGAGATAAGGTAAGGAAGAAAGCATATTTCAGAAAAAAAAGCATTACTTTTAAAAAAATTATAAATATACTTGAGTTTGCACTCTCAACTCTATCACTTGTTGTCTATAAAACTTTGAACAAGAGGTTGGGTACTATTCTGATTCTCAGTGTATCCATCTGCAAAAACTGATAATAATACCTACCTCACTTACACACTGCAGTATACAGTTAAGCCCAGCGCCTAGCATAGAGTAAACAATAAACTGAGGTCATCTAACCACTGTAATATTTGGCTTGCATATGTTATGATTACTGCTTGTAACTATTATATTTTTGAATGTGCAATGTTCTCATATTTTTACTTCTAGATCACATTTTGGAATTAAAAGAAAAACTAGAACTATATTTTATTCTAAATTCAATAAGCACTATGTTAATTTATATGAATTATATGCCAATCAAAAATCATGACCTAACACTATTAGGACAACTATTATCAAAAATACAAGAAATACCAAGTGTTAGAGAGGATGTGGGGAAAAGGGAACCCTTGTGCACTGCTGGTGGGATTTCCACAGTGAATTATAGCCACTACAGAATTGAAAGCAGGAAAGTACTGTTTATCTTGAGAGTGCTACTGGATTTTTTTAAACTGTAAAAACTAATTTGATAAAATAAAAATTAAATTGAAAAATAAAATAAAAGACAGCTAAGACTGTGAATACATTGGAAATAACAGTCTGACTTGCTGTTGTAGGCTTGGGCCCACATCAATGAGCTTTAAGTTAAATATTTTGTAGATAGAGAAAAAAACTCACTCAGGTAACAGCAGCTCCTTTCAAGACAGAGGATTTTTTTCTACCACTAAATACAACTCTGGGCAGCCTGCCCTGGTTCCCACCTATGGGCATGTCAGGTATTGCCTACCTGGCAGGAACTAGCTCTTGGACTTTCCACTGCCATTTTCCTATATAAAACACCAGTGTTGCAAATTTTAGGACTCATTCTACTTGAACAGAGAACACTCTTTAATATGGCAAAACTGTTGGATGTTTTTCAGGTCAGAGATGAGTTTTAGCAAGTATTATTATTTATAAAATGTGTTGGCATGCTCTGGAAACCAGTAAGAAGGTGGTTTATAAACCAAGTTCCATAGACTTTAACCTGTGTGGGCTATGGCTACATAAGCTTACTAAGTAAGAATAAACATTCATCCAAAATGATTTAATTGGTATAGAAAATCAAATTATTAAAACTAAGATAAGGCCTTTGTCAAGAAATAGAAACTTCATCTATTTAACTCTCAAGTTATTTTTATTCTATTTTCCTCTCCTTTAAAAGAAAATCCAGAAGATCATGTTTTAAAGGGTATGAGAAAAGATTAACTGACTCATTATTTAGTGTTGTGGGGAAAAGGAGAATTTATATCTCCTCTATGTTGAAATGTATGCACATGATAGAAAATTTGGAAAGTACATAAAAAAGCTATAATCCTACCACACCAACATTAATTATTTTATATGTCCATATGTATACACATAAAAAGTTATAACCACACTATATATAGAACCATATACTATTCTACTTTATTTACATATTACATTCTGAGCACTGCTCTAAGCTGTTACCTCTTATCCTTTAAAAACATGATTATATGATTTCCATATAACTATGAGAAAGAGAGAGCCGAACACATAGAGACATCCAAACATGTAGACACAGTTGCACACAGAGGCACACATATTGTGACACACAGAAAGAGACCCATGCAAACCGAAAGACATAGAAACAGAAATTGAGGTAGAGAGAGAGATCAAGAAAGAGAGCAATACAGAAATCCAGAGTGTGGGACAGGAATAAGAAAAATGTTTGCAGCCAGATCAGGAGAAGCAAAGGGAGTGAATATGTTTGAGCTCCATGTCCAGGTTTTATCTCTTTTCAATCACCACGATACCCCATAAAATAAGAAGCATTATCCCCATTTTGCACATTGAGAGAATGAAGTTCAGGTCCAAGGTCACATGCCAAATAGACAGAATCTGAACTCATTAAAATGTAAGCACTGTGTGGGCAGGGACTGTTGCTTGTTCTGTCCTCTGCTGTACCAACTGCCTTGGACAAAGCCTGGTGCACAACAGACATTCACAATCCACTTGTGAAAGGAAGAAAGAAAGGGAGGGAGATAAATTGACGAACAAGATAGGACCACAGACATGGAAACAGGAAATAGACTGACAGGTCTCAGAGGGAAGGCAGGAAGAAGGGAGGGAAGAGATTAACCAAAGAACTTACATGCACATATGCACTGCCCATGGACACAGGCAATAGACAGGTGAAGGCCTGGGGTGTGGTGGGAGAATGGGTGCAGGGGTGCAAAGGGAGGAAAATGGGGGACATCTATAGTACTCGCAACAATAAATTAAATTTAAAAAAAAAAGAAAGGGAGGGAGGGAGTGGGAGAAGAAGGAAGGAAGGAAGGAAGGAAGGAAGGAAGGAAGGAAGGAAGGAAAGAAAAGAAGGCGAATAGGAAGAAAAACCAGCTTTAAAAAACCCTTAAAAGCTCATGCTCTATTTTCCTCATGATTTCAGTAATAGGAAGCAATCAAAACACGAGTTTCTAATTCAGTAGTTAGTATTTAAATGTTGACACACTCCCCCACACATATAAAGTAAGCCATTTTACAAGATACAGAAAGTACTCAATTCATCTTCAGCCATTTAAAAACCCATTTGGAATGTAAGAGAATTTGCTGAACGGTTCACAGCTCTTAATATTGCTCCAAATCTTGCATTTCGGCTGACCAATTTCCTTCTGGCTTTCAGTGCCATGCATCGAACTGATGTGACTGTACCAGTAAAAGAGCCACACCTTTGAACCAAGGCTCTTGTTTCTTCAAAACCTTCTTCGGGACTTGTTTTTCCAGCAGTGTCTGTTGACCTGCTATATGTAAGGTAGTGACTGAACTATAGTTACCTCCTACCCGGTCACAGATTTATTCAGTGGCCAGAGATAGCAGGCCTCTAACAATGCCCTCCTAGAAACAAAGTCTCTTTCTTCCAGAACATGTGCTTAATCCTACTCAGAGAATCTGGAACACACCCACGCTGAATGGCCTCTTTACATTCCTATGAAAAGTTGAAACTCTGGAATTCCTGTTTAAATACAGGTAATTTGTATCAACTTTGATTTCTCAGTAAACAAAGACTATACTGTTTGTTAACAGATGGAGAGACAGAAAAGAAACATAAATTCATAGTGAAAACAAACAGGCAAGTCATTTCTGCCTTCAACCCTGGAAAGCTAGCTGCTTAATGCCCAAAACAAAAGTATGGTCTAATTCCAAAAGGATCATCTAAAATATATAACAACACACGCTAGGGATTGTAATTTTTCCATCTTGATTCTACTTAATATAAGACCTCTTCTTCTTAAAACTCATTGATAATTATACACACACACCTGTCACACCAACATACCCCAGAACAGTAACTATACATTTCAACAGTTTGCTTCCTTCACAGCCACTAACATACATTAAAATATATATTGATAGCAAGCCAAGTAGGTATTACAGAACAGGTACAAAATAACACTAAATACAAACAGGGTGTCAGAAGATCCTGTGAGTGGGTTGGGGGGTGAGCCATGCAAATATCTGGGGGAACATTCAGTGGGGGAAACGGAGAGTCCTGGTGCACTGAAGGGAAAGCAAGGCGGTGGGTGAGGCCGCAGTGGCGTGAACAAGGAGTACTGTGTGGGGTAGGGGCTGAGGGGTCGGGGAGGTCCCAGCAGGGGAGCTGAGTGGTTCATGCTAAGTGAATTAGGATTTTCTTGCAAGTAAACCATCCAGGGATCTGAGTGGTGAAGTAACATAATCTGACTTTCATGATAATAGAATTATATCAGTTGCTACTCAGGGTAGAATTTAAGAGGACAAAAGTGGAGTTAGGAAGAGGCTATATTGCTAAAATTTTAGGCAGGAAGTAGTGCTCACTTAGATGAGAGCAGTAGGTAGCTGGGGTTTGACTGTGGATATATTTGAAAGTAGAATCTGTAAAATGTGCTCATGGATTAGACAGGGGGATGTGAGAAAAAGAAATTTCAAGGGAGATTCCAGAGTTTTTGTGACTGAATACCTGGAAGAATGGGGTTGTCATGAACTGAGATGGTCAAAATGGCAAGGAGCACATTTTGTTGAAGAAGGTGGTAAAAAGTTAGGCTTTGGCCATTTTTGACATAAGATGCCAATTAGATTTCTAAGGAGGTATCATGTAGGAATCTAGACATATAAAACTTGAAATCAAGGGAGAAGACAGGACTGGAGATACAAATTTGAGAGTTAAGTTGTAGAAGGTATCTGCAATCAGGAACATGTTCAGGGAAGGAGAGATGAGAGAAAAGAGAAAAGGTTTGATTGTGAGTCCCAGGCACTCCAGCATTTAGAGATCAGAAATACTGCAGAAGATCCAGCAATGGAGACAATTTAAAGCTATAAACAGGCATTTTTAAGCCTGCTTTACTGAGTCTAATCTAAACACATGTACTGACTGGATGGAGTTGTGAACCTGTCAGGTGGAACACTGTCTTCAGCTTCGGCATATGCACTAAGATGAAACCCACCTTGTGAGGCCTCTTGGGAGAAGGCCCTACCATTGTGGTCAGTCTGTTTCCATGTGAATTTCTATACTTAACTCATTAATCCTTATATCAATTCTGGATGTAACTGTTATTATATTCATTTTATAGATGAAAAAA